CCATTTTCAGATGCATGACTCATGAATAGCATCACTGAAATCAGTGAGAACATTTGACTAATACAAATCTTTATTTCAGTAGAACTTGTATGACCAACTTAGAATACTCTTTTAAGTAGCTTAGAAATATTGTATACAATCTTATTAAATGTTAAGTTTCATATTTTCTAAAATGCGGTATATCTATTATTATTCTAATAAAGTTTTATATTTTAAGACATGTGTTATAGAGTATTATATTAGTTTTACAATGAGCAGGAGTCTCTGTTTTGGAGCTCTTCAGGTAATATAACTTTTTATGGTCAACATAGCTCTCTATTTTTATGTAAATTTTAATAGTATATTCAAAGCTTCCTGGAGAGAAATTGTTCCTTTTTTTTCTTATCTCCTCTCATTCTTTCCCAAAAGAAGCATTTGCCCCATTTAATGAATTATGATTCTTATCCCTAGCTAGCCTGTTGAAGTTCCTGCCCTATTGAACAGCATCTCTCCCTGAGATTCAGGCAGCCCCACTTATTAGACTTCCAGAAGGTATTTAAAACCTGGCAGTTTCTACATCTATTCATATCTGGATGTTAACAAGCTCTGCTAATTGATTGATTGACTGACATTCTTTTGTAGTAGAATGGGAATGAATTTTCTTGAGCTTGGTTATGTGGGTTGGTTGATCAGTTTATTGTTGCTTGGTTTTAACCTTTTGTATGTAACCCAAAGTGGTGAGTGATATTTGAGATGGGTGGCCAACTTTCTAAAATAAAGAAATCTCTCTAGATTTTTCTAGTCTCCAAATCTAAAGGACGTTAGACTAGATGAAGCCAAGTACTGATCACAACTTTATCAAAGATTTTTGAGAGCCAATGGTTGTATTTAAAATTTTGAAAACAAACAAGTTGTTCCCCCCTTATGGCTTTTTATGGAGGGTATGGATAATGATGATAACCTTTATTGACAATTTTTATTGTGGGCACAATGGCACACTTTAAAAATGAAATGTAGTTGCTTGCTCTCAAAGTGTACACATATAGTACATAACACACATTTAAACATACTATATACAAGATATGTATAGACCTACACCCTTACATATAAGTAACATATAAATATTAATCACATGAATACTCTCAAAATCTACATTTATCAGAAGGCAAACAAATGAAGTTGGTCCCTACTAGCCCCCCCCCCCACGCAGCTACTTCTTTTTCCTTTCCTTCTGAACAGGTTGACAAAGTCCAAAGCTGATGGTTACCCATCCTTTTTATTTCCTATGAATGCCCCTGGGATCCTTCTACAAGTAAAGTGGCACGAATTCTGCCACTGCGCTTATGGCATTCCTTCTCCCTTCATGTTGTGTGACTCTGGAGTCCATCATGTCAACACTAACTTCTGTTTCTAATGTTTCCACCTCCAAGCGGCTGCTATAAATCCCCAGCTTCCATGAATTGTGAAGCACTTCTCAGCAAGAGCATAGTCAAAACAGATGCTCTAACAGCTGTGTCAGCAGATCAGAATATGAAGCCCAGAAGTCAACTACCATATATATGTCTCCACTTTGCATGGTGAATGTCTTAATGATTAATGTCAGGCTGTGTATCTCCATATTTCCTAACTACCGAAGCTGCTATGCTGTTTGGCATCCATATGTAATTCTTCTAGCACAGCTTTCCTTAACATGGTGCCCTCCAGAGGTGCTAGGAATTGCCATTTATAGTAGCAAAGAATCAGGTTAAAATATCTCCTCAGCTTTCCTTCTTTTTTGACATCTCTCCTGGCTTTGCATATCTTTGCTCAAGAGGCATGATGGATCTCCTGTTGTTGTTGTTGTTTAACCTGGTGTACTACTCAGCCTGACTGAAAATACTTCACTTGATGACTTGAGTGAAATCAGTTACAGCCTCTTTTTATTTCTCCTATACCTGTGTTCAACCCAAAAATGGGAGTCCTATTTTCTTTCTAGAAGCTTTTAAGCATTGTTGGATATTCAAATGCTATTCTCTAGCATTTGAATATCAAAAAGACCAGTTCAATCTAATTTGCACAGAAGAATGTAGAGAAAATGGCTCACATCAGGAATGTAGGCTGAAGAGACTTACAGTATATACAGTACATAGTGCATATATATAAGCATGCATATATAAAGATAGATAGATAGATAGATAGATAGATAGATAGATAGATAGATAGATAGATAGATAGATAGAGAGGGAGGTAGGGAGAGAGAGAGAAGGAGAGAGAGAGAGAGAGCAGCTACAATAGTATTACAGACATGGGTGGGAGGCATTTACAATTGTTCCCAATTTGGATCTGTTTTTAACCCTGTTTGGTCTAATTTTAATTTCTTTTGCTTGGAAAGATCTTCTCACTTCCATTTTTACCACCTAAATAATCTGTATTTCAAACCAAATGTGTGAATGAACATTTCAGTGAACAGCTGTGTTTACCCCAACATCACTAGCAAAACAAAACATCTATTTAAATTGTTGCTAGTTCAAAAGTTGATCTCTCCTTTATCCCATTACTGCTGTGGGTTTGCAGTTTGTAATGAGGAACATTATGAAAGGTCTTCTGAATACACAATACACATGACTAGACAAGGTAAAGTGATTAACAAAAATCTTAGGAAGGATTCAACAACAAATGTCTAGCTGTGGAATCTCTTTAAGAAATGGGAATCCCAGAACATCTCATTGCCTTCTTGAAGAAACCTTTTGTAGGGAGAGATGGAGATGACCTTAGAAAAAATATTCAGAAATTATTACTACATCAATAGGTCTGAAAACATGTTTTAAGCCCAAGAAACAGGGAAAATATTAGGAAGAGACCCAGTCTGGCTCCTCTTTAACTCCCTGGGATATAAGAAAAATGGTAAGGAAAATGATGACAGGCTTGCAAGAATCTATTATGATAACGTATAGTTGTAGTCTTCTTCTGGGGTCTGTTCCCTGATCTGGTCAACCCTGAATGGTTGGTATCTATACAGAACAACACAGTCACGCTACTACCCACCACGCTCGTGAGTTCATCGAACCCTAGCACTCCACAAGCAATTCCATTAACAAACACATTGACCTACAACCAGCCTATGAACCTCCTTCAGAATCCATATCAAGCACAAAGCCAACCAGAGACAGCACCAACCCTCAACCAACCCATGGAAGTTCCCCCTTCCACCAGCAGTTCACCTCCCAATGACCGCCCCATCACAAGACCCATCAAAAGACTCAGATGACTCACACCTGACCCATCACAAGACCCATCACAGACCCTCACTTGACATACCCACACATAAAGCCTTTATAAACAGAAGAATAATGACATCCCCTAACTCTGCTGAAGATGTTACAGTACCTAGCCTGGTAATCAAATGTTCAGAAGCCAACTCACAAGCTCAGAGATCAAACCTTCATCCTCACCTATACAGAGAATAGGAAGCCACAGTCTTGACAGAATAAGGGAAAACCAATGGGTTCCAGGCTGGCAAAAGTGTGAAACAAGGCTATGTACTGTCTCCTTATTCATTCAGACTATATGCTGAACCTATATTGAGAGAAGTTAAATTGGAAGATGATGAGCATGTTTTTAAAATGGAAGAAAAACATCAATAACCTTCACTATTGATGATGCTACTCTGATGGTTGACAATGCAAATTATTTGAAAGCTCTAGTAATGAAAATCAAGTATCACAGTAAAAAAAATAGAGGCTAAGATTAAATATAAAAAGAACATAAAAATAACGGATACAGCAACCAGCTTTAAAACAGAGTGAAGCTATTTAAATGGTTGATAACTTCTGCCTTTAAGATTGACTGTAAATATCCAATGTAGACTAGCACTTGGTAGGAGAGCAATAAAAGTCTTGGAAAGGATACTCAGATGCTGTAATGTGTATATACCTACAAAGATGAGAATCATGCAAGGAATGGTTTCCTCTATGACAGTCTATGGAAGTGAAAGTTGGACTTTAAAGAAGCCGGATGGAGAAAGTATTTATACTTTTGAACGATGATGTTGGGAAGACACCTGCCAGTATCATACAAAGACAAGAAAATGAACAATGGATCATAGAACAAACCAACCCAGATTTGTCACTCAAGGTACAAATGCCTAACCAACACTAGGAGGAAATGCTTTCCATTGTTGCCCTGGTGAAATAGTTTAACATTGGACATTCCAGTAGTAGGGGACATGATGGCAGTGTTCCAATATCTCAGGGGCTGCCACAAAGAAGAGGGAGTCAAACTATTTTCCAAAGCACCTGAAGGCAGGACAAGAAGTAACGGGTGGAAACTAACCAAAGAGAGGAGCAACCTAGAACTAAGGAGAAACTTCCTGACAGTTAGAACAATTAACCAGTGGAACAACCTGCCTCCAGAAGCTGTGACTGCTCCAACACTGGAAGTTTTTAAGAAGAAACTGGACAGCCATTTGTCCGAAATGGTATAGGGTTTCCTGCCTGAGCAGGGGGTTGGACTAGATGACCTCCAAGGTCCCTTCCAACTTTATCATCATCATCATCATCATCATCATCATCATCATCATTATTATTATTATTATTATTATTATTATTATTATTATTATTATTTAGGTTGAACTACAGCTCTTTTTAATTAGCTCAGATATCACCTTTGGAATTATATGTGCCAGATAATTATGAATATTCTCCTTATAGCTGTATGAATGAAGATTAGTGACCAAGAGCCTTCAGAAACGGGTGGCATACAAATGGAAAACATATATTAATATTATATCGTAGCGTGGATTTATTTATTTATTGTAAACCACTGATAGTTACGTGAGTGCAGTAGTATGAAAATCAAATAATATCCCGATATTGCAAGTTTCTCCCAATTCAATAAGAGGGTAGCTAGCTCTATTAAATTTCTGCTGGAAAACAATCATTTTCTGATTACCAGTACTAAGCCCTAGCAAGCCCTAATGAATTCTGTGCAATAGATGTATAGTTTTCCCATTATGGAAAAGAATAACTGCTAAGCAACATAACTAAAAACATGTTTAACTTTATTAAACTGTTTTCATATTTATACTTTTGAATCATTTTTCCAATTGCAATATGTTACTTTGGGTCATCACACATCTGTATAAACATCTCACCAACATTCTGAGGACTGATTTGGAATAAACCTTCTGTGTATTTAAGACACATTTTGACAGATATTCAACCCACATAAAATTATATTGAAGCTCATGGGATATGAAGAATAAAACATATAACTTAATTGCATCCACAAATTATCATCTTTAAAATACATTCTTGATTTATGTTCTTCAGATAAGGGCACCAGAACAGTGAAATGGAAACCAGTACAAATCTTACATACATTGCCTTTACTTTAGCGTCTGTGTGTATGGGCATGTGTGAATGCTAGTGCAAAGGAGTTGTGACATTGTACAAACCTGCACTGCCACTGCAAACCCCATTTCAATCCACATCCAATACTCTTAAAGTGCTATCTTGTCTCTGACTTTAATAATGGAACCAACTTAATTCAAGAATATGTTGGGAACTGCTGTTCAAATCTCACTCCATAGAATCTACATTCTGAGCTATCAATGGGAAAAGTTTGTCAGGGAAAAGGAAAACAAGTACTGAGTAAAAGAGATAATGTGTTCTTCTGACTGCATTTATAGTTCAGGCATTTATAGTGATTGCATCTGAGTAGCCCCTACATTTTTTGAGGAGTACCCATTTTTCTTTCTATTATAAACAAATCATTATAGACATTTAGAGCAAAGTTGTTTTCTAGAAACACTGACTTTGCAAACTAAAACTTAATGAAAGAGGCAATGTAGTTTCAGTGTTATTTCTGTAGATAGCTGTGAATTTCCAGTTTTCAGAAGAGATTAAACAAACCAGAATGCTGAGAAGAAAAAATGGTTTATTACATTCAGTGTACTGTCCAGATATTTTAAGGTGCCAAAGAACATTTACTATTAGTTTTCTTCTCAGGTTTTCATTAAATCTTTAAAAACAAAAACAAAACAAAAAAACCTTAAAGCAACTGAATGCCCATATTAATGCCAAAGCATTTCCTTTGTCTGATTTTGTCATTAATATTTAAGGACCTTAACTAAGGATGTTGTCAAATTCTGGGAAAGAGTTCCAGTTCATAACTGTCACTAGGCTATGTGGGAAATATAGTGCAAGGTCCTCTTGATTAATTGCACTAAGAAGCATTAGGAATACAAATCCCAATCACCACAGGATAGAGAAATATTCCTAACTTCCTGGAATGTTCCAGGTCTTAAGAATGAGATTTCCACAGAAAAACTTGGAAGGGACACCTAACTCTAGTTTTAAAACAGGCTGGGGTAGCTCACCTATCAGCACTTAGAAAGCCATTTGGGGAAATAAGCCATATTTGCTGATCCCCTGGACTTTTTAGTCACCACTAAAATGTTCACATATACAGTTGTATACACAGTTGTAGTACTGTGATTAAGAGAAGGAAGGGTGAACTGCAAGGATGAGAAGTCCTATCACTGTGGAAAATGTGGATTTTCTTGGAATCTGGATGGAGTGCTCTGGCATCTTCCAATGCTTTCTGTGCTGCTTGAGTAAAGTTAACATCTCCTGAAGTCATCACATCAAAGATACATGACTGGAAGTAGATGTCTTCAACTGGTAGCTTCTCCTTACATAGCAGATGAGCTTTCTTTCTGGTCAGGCTACCTTTTGGGTGACAGCAGTTATGTATAGAGATGCGCTGGCTGAGAAAGCATCCTGACATACACAGCTGGAGATCCTGTTCATCTGTGAAGGAGAATGCTATCTCCTTAGCTGTCCGGATGGAGAAGGACAGGTGCTTTCCTACCTGGCGCACAGCAATGGTGGTACCAATGTATGTTGCTTGGATTGTTATGTACTGCCCAGGTATATGTTCATGAATGGTTAAGCTATTTCCTCCAGGCTTCTCACCACCATTCACTGAACCATCTGCGAATGCTACTGGCAGGTTGTCCATTTCTGCCTGGTAGACTTTCTCTTCAATGCACTCTTTCATGTTTTTAAATATAATGGTGAGCTGTAAAGGAATAATAGCTTTAAAATACATGGGATAGTTCAAATAACTAACTTCTCTAAGAGCCATTCAATGACCGATTCATATATTACCATCAAAAGAGAACACACATCAAGTTAAAATCTTTTACTCTAGTTTAACACTATTCATCAGATATGACTGAAGTCTAAAATTAACTAAGATACTTTTTCTTATGTAACTGAAGAAAAGGGGGTAACACAAACACACATCACCTCTTATCAGGAGACCTGCTAAACTTAACTACCATCCTCTATCCAAAACCACAACCATGGAATCACAGTGCTGGATTCTATACTACAGAAGAGAGACAAATTAGGGGTCTCCAGCAACAGCAGCACCCTCCCCTAAATAAAAAAAGGGTCTGGTTTACCTATGGCAGAACATACAGTAATTCAGAGCTGAAAAAAAGCAGAAAGCATAAACCTCTTGTGGGATTTCTGGAAAAACAATGGAGCATAAAAGATAAACTGCTTCTTCCATTATGGGTTGATACTAAGCTGCTTCCAGGCATGTTTCTTCACCAACTATAGTAAAGTACATTGGCTCTTCAGAGCAAGTTGGTTCACATATCAGGAAGCATTGTTTGACCTGGGGAATCTCCAAGCTTTCAACCAGAGATGGAATAGTCCTTGCCATTCATTCTTTTTAACTAAAGGTGACTGAACTATCTTAGGAACAATGACAAATTCCAGTCAGACCACTGGAAGCTACAATAATGTTAAATCCCTGCAAATCCTGGGAATTGTATCAGAAATCCTACATGAGTGATAAGAGCAGATATTGGAACTAGTATGCCAACAACATTCCCCTCAGTTATAAACCCACTACATAGATTTAATTTCCTGATTGGAGAGGGCAAAGAATGTTTTCCAATCTATTAGGAAGGCACCTGTGAGAAAAGGCTCACACACATTCTTAAATTATCAGAGGAAACCAAGGAAAACTTTGATAAGATATTGGCTTGGATCAGATACAGGTAGTCCTTGACCTACTACCACAACTGAGTGCAAAACCTCTGTTGTTAAGCAAGACAGTTAAGTGAATTTTGCCCCATTTTACAACCTTTCTTGCCATCGTAAAATGAATTACCACAGTTGTTAAGTTACTAACAGAGTTGAGGGTGAAGGTTTGTTCTCCAAGCTTGTGGGTTGGTTTCCGAACATCTCATTACCCATTGTTCACAAGACTCATCACAAGATTCTCACTGATTACTCACACAAGACCCATCACAAGACCCTCACTTGACACACCTACACACGAAGCCCTTATAAACAGAAGAATACCAACACTGTCATCTCCTAAACTCCACTGAAGATGCTACCTAGCCTGGTAACAAAACATCCAGAAACCAACCCACAAGCTCGGAGAACAAGCCTTCACCCTCATCCTATACCTGAGCTACAGATATTCACCACCATTGCAAACTAACAGGGTTCTTAAATGAATCTGGCTTCCCTATTGATTTTGCTTGTTAGAAGGTCACAACAGTTTATCATACGACTTCAGAACTGCAACTGTCATAAATATGAGTCAGTTGCCAAGCCTCTGAACTTTGATCATGTGATCACAGGAATGCTGCAATGGTTGTAAGTGTGAAAAATGATCATAAGTTAGTTTTTTCAGTTCCATTGTAATTTCGAACAGTCACAAAATGAACTGTTATAAGTCAAGGATTATCTGTATTACATTAAACTATGATGTTGTTTGTTTGATTTTGACAGCATGTTATATAATCCAATTCTACAATTTCCCCTTTACCATTCTCCCAAAAAAAAATCAAATCACACCAGCAAAATCAGACATTTTGCCAGCACTTTCTCAAGCTGTTGGGAATTCTCAAATGGGATGCTGGAGAATACATTCACCCTGTGGGTTGCCCAACCCCAATAGGAAAGAGTAATTCTACCTTGCCAATTCCAGTGACATTTGATCCTTTAATGATAGGATAACTAGTGGCTTGCACAAACAAATTATTGTTGTCCAGAAGTGGCCAGGAGCCTTCAACTTGGCAAGTGTAGAACTCATCACTGAAGGTCCGGACATGAGGATCCCCAAAGACAGCACAATACTGATATGTGGGGTATTGGTTATGTTTGTGGATAAAACTCTTCTCATAGTCACAGGTGTCTATGGATGGGAAATCATGTTTGTTGGGTGCCAGGGCTGGAGGTCGTGGCACTGCAGTTGGCTCTTCCTTGGAACAGTTGTTCTGAATTATGAGGTCTTCAATGACATAAACAGCTGCATGGTATGCCAAGTCCCCACGACAAGTGCGGGCTGTCCTCCGAGTGCAGCTGGAGTAAGCGCTCAAAGCATTACAGTAGGCAGTGTTCCTTTTAAAATTATGCATGCTTGCTGTGGCATCTATAAATTCAGAATTACAGCGTGAAATCTTGCATTGGGATTCAACTATACAAAGGGAAATCAAAGAAAACTATTAGATATAAGACTGAAGATTCATTCTTCAACATCCTTTGCAAAACTGCAAGAATCTCCTCCATACTACTTGACTCATCACTTAGCAATTTCATGAGTAAAACCTGGCCATCTGGCCCCAAAGTCTCTAAATCTTTTTAAATGTCCGCTGGAATTTAAACAAATTTAAATAAATAATAAAGATCTAGATAACTTGAGTTCTGAATAGAACAGAAAATGCCTCCTGCATAAATTCCTCAAGTCAGAAAGAGGTAATTCACCCTATCTTCACTCTTCATTGCTGTCTATTTTTCTGGAACTGCAGGGGCTTTGCTGTGCTTCCCCACATCCATCCCTGGCTAACTCTGCTGGAGATCTCAGGAGGTTTTTTTCCCTTTCTTTAGCAAGAAAGCTAAAGATAAAAGCATTTCTACATATGAGAGGTTTTCTCTAAGTTGGTTCTCTTCAGATATAATGACTCCAACTCCCATAAATCTCCAGTCACTATAGCCAAACTGACTGGGGAGTTATAGGTACTGCCATCCAATTAAGAAGACTTAAGGGACAGGAATATAATGGACCTTTAATGTATCAGCATAGTCCTCTTCTGAATAATATTTTTATAACAAATATCCAGAAGATCAGAAATAGAAATGGAAACAGGCTCTTATAGAAAACAGGGCAAGGCACTCATAGACATAAGTGCTTCAGACAAAACCAAAAACAAGATTTATTCTTGAAGTACCCAGAATTTCCTTTGACTATTATAGCAGAGAATTGATGGCACAATCACTCAATATTTTGAGACAAAAATGCATGAAAACTGTAGCTTCAAACTGTATCCTACCCCCTCACCTGCAAAAAACAAAGAAAAAATCCAGCCCTGCTCATTTTTCATGGGTGTTCTGCTTGATTCAAATAAAGGTTATCCAGGGACAGAGACAATAGAGTCTCAATAGGAAGTCAATAAGAACAACAAATGTCAAGCTAATATGGTTTTTGCTGAGTGAAGTTTTCAGGGACAGACTTTAATTCAGCAGTATTGGAAAGACCTTAATTTAGAACTAACCTCCCAAAATAACTTAGACAGCAAATCTCTTACCATGTTTATATAACAGGAGGAGGGCCAGCAGTTTAATGAAGAAGCTTAGATTTGTTGAGTAAAGCAGATTCACGCTGCAGGCTGATAGCCTTGTTCTGAACCATTCAGTCATTTTGGAAGTTGGTCATTCAAGTCTCTCCTCACCTTTTCTTTCCACTGGTTTGCTGTAAATAAACATAGACTGAAATAAATCTTGTTGGTGTTCTCCAGCTTTATGCCACACAATCTGGTCTCCTGAAACATTGTTGACCTCTACTTTTTTTAATTTGTAGCTCTTATTTTGAATTCTATTAGGGAGAAAGAAATTGAGACAATGAAATTATTCTTTTTTGGTATTCCTATCATCATAGAGACCATCATACTTCTATGAAGTCAATTCTTACCTGAAATAATTGGAAAGTATAGTTACCTAAGGTTTCCTTTTCGGACCAGTGACTAGCTTAGAAATCTCTGCTTCACAGTCTTGTGAACTAGTTCACGAGATTCTTCTCATATTCTTAGCAGCCCTCTCTGGTGACTTGAAATATGCTCCAATATAAAAAATCCTTTGCAACAAGATATTCCTTTTGAGGGCTTCGCTTTTCAGCCAAGATGGAAGATTCTTGACTTAAACAATACAAGGTAGAGGAAGATATGTTCTTCCCCTTTTATCCACCTCCAACATCAATCAAAGCAGAATGTGAAAGATGATTAATTTCAGGCTGGCAAACCACCATCAAACTGTGAGCAATCATTCATGCAACAATGTCTTTGTCCACAATTTTGGTGGCCCAGCTAGTTGCAGGTATATTTTGACTTACTCTCTGAGGAACTTTCATTGTTGTCTTGTTCAAGAGCACTACAGCAATCAAGAAGGACCTTCTTTCATTTTCCAGTAAACAATTCCTCCATTCCTACTGTCCAGGGCTGATTTTACAAGAGTGACAATCTACACATCCCAATCACATTTGTGCGCTACTGTGCTACTTTCACTAAAGTCAATAAACTATGGCAGAGACTTTGCCCCTGTTTCCAAACTTGGTTTGGAAGGTTAATGATCAACCAGTTGATACAATATCTGCATACAATATCCCTATAACAAGATGACAGAACCCAAAAATATTTAAGATTTCACAATAGGTAGCGAGTTTCAGAGAAAGATCCCTGAGTCGCTGTTGAATCACTGAATCACTCCCATAAGATGCCCAAGAGTTGGCTTGTGTATCTCAGTTTGCAGTATCAATTCAAACAGGAACAACAATTCATTCTTAATCAGTTCAATTCATTCCTAATCAGTTCAGTTAATGATCTAAGGGCTGAATTCTCATAGCATGCTAAGTTTATTTAAGGTGGATTACCTAAGAGCTGAGACTTAGTTGTAAAAATCCCTTCCATTTGGTTAGCTTACCATTCAATATATTGCATAAACTCTGATACCAAAATGGGTTAATTCAGTGATTAACTTCAGCAAGGTTACTGAACTAACCGTCTTTCTGAGTTTACACAGTATATTGAATGATAAGATAATCAAATAGGATGGGGTTTGCACAACAGAGATTTGTAGTTGTATGGAGGAAAAACAAGTATGGAGTGAATAGTGCTATGTACACTGTTCTAAGTTTCTGAAAGAAAGGCAGTCTAGAAATATAACAATCATTTTACCCACCTTTTCTCTTAAAGAGAAAATCCTCAAGTCCTACAAGTACTTTTAAGACTCACAATGTGCACATGTAGTTGAAGAGAGAGAGAGAGAGAGAAAGCACAATCCACAGCTCCTGGGTCACCTTTTTCATGGTTCTCAGTTCTTCTTCCTCATTATTGTGATTCCTAAAAATTAACAGCTTGGTTTTCTGCTATCTTGAAGAAGGAAACATGTGAGAACTATTAATGCAAATTTTAAAATAGGGATAACACATTTAAAGGAAACCAGCACCAATTCCATCCCAGATCCTGCCTTATCCAGACATATGACAAGGTCATTCCTACCTTGTGGCTCTCAATCCTTCCAATGTTCCATATGACCATTAGCTACCAAATGGTTGTCAAACCTGAGTTACATAAATCAGACCATTATTGCTTATTAAATAAAGAAACATGTTAGCACAATATGAGCTCAGCTTTTTAGGGGTGTCCATATGGAACAGGTAGAAAACTGGTTCACATGAAGGCAAAGTTTGCAGAATAAATCACACAATTAGCTATAGTCGCACCATAAACTACATTGTTTTCTAAACAACAATGGCTCCATTCATATGCAGCATGCCAAACTGAAATCGAACCAAATCAAACAGAATAACACAGTTGGAAGGGACCTTAAATGTCTTCTAATCCAAACCTCTGCTCAGACAGGAGACCTTATACCATTCTGGACAAATGGCTGCCCACTCTCTTCTTGAAAACCTCCAGTAATGGAGCACATACAACTTCTGAAGGCAAGCCGTGCTACTAGTTTATTGTTCTCATTGTGAGGAAATTTCTCCTTAGTTCTAGGTTGCAACCAAAATATAACTTAGGCCATGGGTTTCCAAATGGATTTTGATAAAGCAGCGTAGATTCACATGTTGCCTAAACCATATTGTGGTATATTTGTAAATCAAACACATTTGAAGATCAAACAATGCTCCATCTCAGAGGATGCTCACACTAAGCTACACTCTCTTATTAATTTCATTTTTCAAAATAAGACCTCCAGGGTAGATGCAGAGCTCAGAAGCATTCTGAGAAATAAAGATTATGTCTCAAGATAATAACTTTATAAAAAGTTTCCCATTTGTTTTAATTTAAAAAAACTATTAAAAATAGACTAAAATTAGACATGGAGTCTGCATGTACATGGGTATTGTGGACTCAGATAATACATCCTCAGCCAGCACTTCAGGGGTATAATTGAGGGATTCTTTTTGTCCTGTCAAGTGAATGAAATAAAAAAAAAACAAGTAGCTTAACCCAGAAGAAAATGCTAGCTTACTTCCCTTCTTTTAACTTTCCTTATATCACAAGCCATTTTAAATCCCTCTCAAAATGACTTATATTATCAAGCAACTGAAGTCCAACTGTTCTGAGTATTTAATATGGTTTGCAAGCTCAGCCTACACACTTTGAAACAAGCCCCATGAAAATAATTGAGCAGTTATTCCATACATATCTTTTAAAAAGATTAATCAAGATTTATTTTGATTAATGCTTTGATGAAACACTTCCCAAAACTCTCAGGCCTGTGGTCTAAACTGGGAAGTCCCCCCTCAAAAAAATATTCCAAAATACAATAGTGATCGATAGAGCCATTTGTGGTGGGTATAAAAAAAAGTTAAGGAGGGGTGGAATCATGAAGCCCCTGTTGCCATCTTGACTTTTTTGACTCCTTAAATAGATGCCAGATGTGTCAGATTACTTCTACATTATCCCAAGTAAACTATATGATTATGCCAAGTAATTATCAGAAATCACTTTAACTCAAAAGAAAAATTTTATACAGCCCAACGTGTAACCTAGCTTACATATAGTTCCAATAGTTCTTTCACATATAAATCAGCTTCACAATAAAATAAGTTAAAGACTGTTTTCCAATTTTTATATTGCAAGATCTCTTATCCAAATATCTGTATTACTTGTTAAGTTCACCACCTTTAAAACTTACAATTTAAACAGCAAAAAGAAGCAAAAATGGCAATTCTACGAAGAGTGGTTTTCTTCAAAATGTATTAACACTTATGAATTCAACCTCCATCAAAATATTAATTTAGGAATTATTAAACATATTATTGTTGCCTAGCCCTATTCTATTCCTTTTTATCTAAAGAAAGATCTGAAGGAAATATGCAGATTTGGAAAAGCAAGCCAAAGGGGACTCCTAAAAGCAGGCAGAGGTCATAATACTTTTATTTGTCTTTTGAAAAATTCAGAGATACTATTGTCACCAAAATATTAGAGTGCTTCTCCTATAGGCTCAAAGTAATAAATGAAAAAAGATGCTGTGGTTGTGTATCCCAGGAAGCTTATCCTCACCACAAATCATTAGAGTTCATGTCAGAATATTATTATTATTATTAATAATAATAATAATAATAATAATAATAGTAAAGTTGGAAGGGACTTTGGAGGACATCTAGTCCAACCCCCTGCTCAGGCAGGAAATCCTATACCATTTCGAACAAATGTCTGTCCAGTCTCTTCTTAAAAACTTCCAGTGTTGGAGCATTTACCGCTTCTGGAGGCAGGTTGTTCCACTGGTTAATTGTTCTAACTGTCAGGAAGTTTCTCCTTAGTTCTAGGTTGCTTCTCTCTTTGCTTAGTTTCCACCCGTTGCTTCTTGTCCTGCCTTCAGGCACCTTGGAAAATAGCTTGAGTCCCTCTTCTTTGTGGCAGCCCCTGAGATATTGGAACACTGCTATCATGTCACTCCTCGTCCTTCTCTTCATTAAACTAGACATACCCAATTCCAGCAACTGTTCCTTATACGTTTTAGCCTCCAGTCCCCTAATCATCTTTGTTGCTCTTCTCTGTACTCTTTCTAGAGTCTCAACATCTGTTTTACATTGTGGTGACCAAAACTGGATGCACTATTCCAAGTGTGGCCTTACCAAGGCATTGTAAAGTGGTATTAATACTTCATGTGATCTTGATTCTATCCCTCTATTAATGCAGCCTAGCACTGTGTCGGCTTTTTTGGCAGCTGCAGCATACTGCTGGCTCATATTTAAGTGATTGTCCACTAGGACTCTGAGATCCCTCTCAAAGTTACTACTATTAAGCAAGGTACCCCTATACTATACCTGTACATTTGGTTTTTCTTGCCTAAATGTAGAATCTTATTTTTTTCCCCATTGAATTTCATTTTGTTAGATAGTGCCCAGTATTCAAGTCTGTCCAGATCCTCCTGTATCTTAAGCCTGTCTTCTGGAGTGTTGGCTATTCCTGCCAGCTTGGAGTCGTCTGCAAATTTGATGAGTTCCCCATCTATCCCCTCGTCCAAATCATTGATGAAGCTGTTGAAGAACACTGGGCCCAGCACAGAGCCCTGGGGCACCCCACTACACACTTCCCTCCATGTAGATGCGGTTCCATTGAGGACCACACACTGAGTACAGCCGGTCAGCCAGCTACGAATCCATCTGGTGGTGATGCTATCTACCCCACATTTTTCTATCTTATCAAGTAGTAGGTTGTGATCTATTTTATCAAATGCCTTATTGAAGTCCAAGTAAATTATAAATTATCCCACCGTTTCTTGGTCCCATCCTTTCTTTATATGTAAAGAGCTGTGGTTGTCTTACATTTTAAAGAAAAATCCCTCTAAATGTATGCAGAATGCCTTTTGACTCAGCTGAAACTGAGAAACAATATTCCTTCTCTTATAAATGGTAATCACATTCTCTCGAGACATATAGAATGATAGATCCTTGTTTATCTTTCAGCAAAATAATCCAGCTTATCTCATAAGCAGCATAAATAGCTAGGTGTCCTCTATTTCTTTTGGATGAACTCTCATTAGATCCAGCCACCATATCCCATGGCAAGAGATTATAAGAGTAATATTCCAAAATCTTTGGAGCATCCCAGGTTGCTTATACTTACTGAGAATTTCTCTTATTATTCAGTTTTAGGCCAGTATTCTACTTCTGGATAATACCTGGGTTCAAGCCTTGCAAAAACAAGATTAAAAGGAGAATCATTAGATCTATACCTTTAAGAAGCTGCAGCATCCCAAATCAGAAAATCTTGGGGGGGGGGGGAATCATAGAGGAATAACTTTTTTTTTCAGATTCTTTACTTTTTAAACAAAAATTGGATCCTCTTCTCATGTTAAGCCCTGGTTTGCTTGCCCCACATTTAAGTAAACTACAGTGAGGTGGATGTATATAACACACTAAGCTATAAATCATGGCTTATAAGCCACAATGACTAGGTTCACTTCTGCTAAGCCTAATCCCAAATACATTAAGGTTTTTATGGAA